GTATTCAGTAGTGTGAAGGAAGACGAAGATCTCCGTCTCTGCTTAAATGCTCAAAGGAACATAGAACAGATCTATGATTGTTTGGGATTTCTTCTTTAAAAAGTACTATGGGTATAAGCTGGGTCTCCCAGTAAATCGTTAATACATAACTATGTTATCAAGCAGTGTATACAATACAATTTATGAAGAAAAAAAGAAAAGAAAACAAGTTGATTTGGAACTTTTTCAACAGAGACATGAACATATTTGGCACGAAGGTAGGACATCATCGCATAAATTTTCGTCTACCACTGTGTCGATACAGCTGTTGTAGAGCCATGATTAAAAACTAATCTAGATAATAGCGTTTGCTCAATACTTGTAATGGTCAACACAACGGTGTCACTATTTAAGCAGAAACTGTTTATCTATCCATGCAAAACCTTATAGTCTAGTGTATTGGATTGGTTGCTGTTGTTTGTCTTTAAATCACGGTTTTAATGGATATGGTATTGTATGTCTTTTCACTACCAACGGTTAAAATTGCGATTGCTTTTTGGTATTTTGTTACTCTTAAAAATATCAACAACATATTATTTTATATAAACATCTCTCTTTTTTTTTTTAGGAAAAGAAAGATGATGCTTTTTGTTCTATTTTAAAATAACCTGAAGACATATAACATACATATATGTTTCACAAGTTTTGTTTACTCGCTGCTTTGTAAAAGTGTAATTGTGTTTTTATGTTAGAATAACATGAAATTCTAGTACAATCTTGTAGTGAATTTGTGCAAAATGAAAATATATCCAAAAATCACGTTAATTCTTTCTGCTTATTCCTTCGAGAGTTCAGAAAAAATATAAGTTTACAAAAAGTAAATCTTAAAGGTACAAGTTTCTTGAATTCCATTAAAAATTCATGTCACTTACATGGAAAAACTGCGTGAAAATATATTCGATTTTCATAAAAATAAGGAGATATGGTATGATTGCCATTGAGACAACTATCAACCAAAGTTCAAATGAAGTGGATGTAAGCAAATAAAGGCAACCGTACGGCCTTCAACAATGAAAAAAACGATACCGTATAGTCGGCTATAAAGGCCCCGACATGAAAAGTACGAAACAATTCAACTGAGAAAACTGACGGCATAATTTATGACAAAACAATTTACGAAACACAAATAAAACAGACATGAACCAACGACAACCACTGAACTACAGGTTAATGACTTGGGACAGACACATGTAGAATGTGGCGGGGTTTAACATGTTTGAAGGCGCCAACCCTACTCTAACTTTGGACAGTGGTGTAACGGCACATCATATAAACAAAACTATAAAAAGCAATTTAAAAGGGCTTAACTCATTATAAGAAAAAAAAATATGAACATCTAACAAAACACAGACCGGACGTGGCAGGGAATTTATACATCCCTCACAACAAAAAGACACAACGTACAGATCTGTGAGTACTCGCAGTTACTGACAGCTTGTTTAAAGCCAATAAAAAAACTCGATCAAAAAGACAATACACAAAAACAAGTAAATATAAACTGAACAAATAAGTTTGATCTATGACACAATATAAATAAAAAAGATTTTTCAATGTCAAAAACCCCCAAGGGTGACTGGGGAATAGAAGTATGGTCACCATTGGTCTTCCTCCGACCGGCAGTAAAACCCGTGCTTAAGTGGGGCGTCCGTTTTGCTGTGCGGGATGTACAAATTTGCAGCCACGTCCAGTCAGAATGGGGACGTTAAATCCGATGCCTCGTGTAAAGAGAGTGCCACGCTCTTTGCACGTTAAGAACCCTTGCAACAACTCTTTGAGGGGTCCGTAGGTGACCTGTTGCAAGGCTAAATTTCTGTCCCTATCCAATATACCCTCATTTCCCGTGGCAGTCTAAATTTCTCCGACCTTAATCCCGGACGCCCCTATTACAGAACCTACCTATTGTATTTATTGTTAATTTGTTCTCGTCCTGAATATGCATGAAATATTTGCCACTGGACGTTAAGCAACCAACAATCAATCAATGTCAAAAAGACATATGTATGTATATAAATCGATCTCTGAATAACTTTTTATTTAAACAAAATTGATCTTTCAATCAGATTGACCCATCTTTTAATTGCCTGGGACTATATTTGAAAATTAGTGATAGCTATTCCCGCTTAAATATTTTGCATCTTTTCATATGAGCGGAACATGCCATAAAAGGGTTTTGTTTTCTCCGGCAAAAGGCAACTGATAAGGTTTATGAAATTTTTATGAGAAAAAAAAACGATGAAACATTCAAACAAGTAATAGCTTTTCCAAAGAGCTTACCGTGTTTCAGCTTACTAATATTATGTTTGAAAAATTGTTGTTTTGCTTTGTATTTTCATCCACCAGAATATTGCTCTGCATATGAAATATAACGGGGTGGAAAAAAGTGAAATAGAGGAAAGGCTTATATAGTATTTTAAGGGTTGCAGTTTTCATTTTGTGCTTTGTAATTTTCAACTCCTGGAAAGAGCCTAATTTCTAAGTCACTTGCGTTGCTTGCACTTATTTCAATAAACCTTTTTTATGAATCAATTTTTCAGTATACATGTCATTTTTTACTCTCTGTTTGAGAAAAGTGTGATCAACATCTTTCATTAATTTTCCCGATAAACCAACCCCCAAACGTTTTAGATCCCAATGAACCTTTAATATACCGGAAATTATTGTTCCTATATCCTACTAAAGGATGTTCCAGTAGCGTATAAGTGTACATGTACATAGTCACTGCGGGGATATGTGTAAGGAGTAAATCGGTTTCAAGTCGGTTTTGAAAAAAAAATGACAAATTGGCAAGTTATGAGGTAAAGTAAATACCTTTGCGACTCTGATCGTTAATTTCTGTCTTTCTTCTTCTTCCCGGTTACGAGCTCGAGACGGACTCTGCAATTGAGTGTAATTGACTCTGGCGCATCCCAAACAGGCAGGAGGCCACTCTTTGGCCAAAAGTAAAAGCCAAGTAAAACTGGTAATATTTACATTAAAATCAGTAAGTGCGTATTTACAAATAAGTACACTGGGCACCTGCTGTCTACTTGAGATATGGCTGGGTCCAGGAGATGGTGTTCACTCTGGTCTTGAAGTCCTCTAATGATCCGGATTCCACTACAGATTCTGGTATTTTATTCCATTCTCTTGCTGTTCTCGGGAAGAAGATATGATAATACACGTCTCTCTTTACTCTAGCTTTTCTGAGTTTGTGGTTGCCTCTGGTCCGTCTGTCACCTGATGTGTAGTACTTGGCTAAATCAGTGACAATCAGCTGGTGTTGGGTCTTATAATACAACACGAGACTATGTTTGCATCGTCTGTGCTGGAGTGATTCCCTATGCATTTGGTCAATTAATTTAGTTAAACTTCCTGGAGAGTTGTCCTGATAGCAGCTGTAGACAAAGCGAGATGCTCGTCTTTGTACTTTCTCGATATCTCGTGTGATGGTGATTTGGTGCGGTTCCCATACTAGAAAAGCATATTCTAGGTTGAGGTCTTACTAGGGTGGAGTATATTGGTCTTCTTGTTAGTTGTTTTCTAAGCTTTGAACCAATTCGATGAGTCAACCCCTTTTCAACTGGTTTTTTACAGTTAGTTCTGACATAATAGAAAAGAAAGGATATGGGGTATCCATCCAAGACACAAAATCAGTTCATGCACAGCAAAAACACAAAAAAGCAAAGGAACAGCGCTTTTAATGATGTATGTTGCGGTTTAACACCACTGTTTCAGGTTAGGGGCGGGTTGGTCATCCGCAAATATGCTGTTACCCCCGTCAAGTTCGCTGTGTGCCTGTACCAAAGTCATGAGCCTGAATTTCATTGGTTTTCGCTTGTTGCTGTGCTTTACATCTGCTTTTCTTTTATGATTGTTATGTACATAAATAATGATTTATGACATGCCGTTGGTTTTGTCGTTTGAACATTTATACATTTGTCATGTTGGATCTTTTTACAGCTTGCAATGCAGTATGAGTATTTCTCATTGACGTATATATGACAACATCTATGTCATGTTGTCTTTGGTGGATAGTTACCTCATTGGTAATCATACTATATCGTCTTATTTTTATGCTATAAATATCTGACAAGCTAATTTTCTGGAACGTTGCAAAACATTTACTGAAGCTATGGGTTTGAATATTTGCTAGTACTATTCACATGCATCAATAAAAGTTCAACTATATACCATTTGTTCATGTTGTTATCAGAACATTATACTACAAACATGCACATGAAGCTGTGATTATGGTTTTCTGAAATGTTAGCAAACAGAAGTTTGTGTATTTAAATTTTGGTATTTAAGTGAATTGTATGACCTGTATTGCATATTTTTGAAAGTCTTTGTAAAACTATCCATCATTATTTATTTTTTTGAAAATTTAGAACTTGAAATATTGTGAAGACATGTATCCATTGAAGAAACCCGAGTGATAACCATATTTAGCTTTGGTGTTAATTCGGTTGCTGTCTTATTTATAAAACCCTACACCTTCTTTTATTTACACAAATAAATCTAGCAACGGTTTAAGTATTTTTACATTCATGAATACATTCTTTCAAAGCGGACCTTTACCGATGCCTACTGTATGTGTATAAAATACCCCTTCCCGAAAAAGTTACCTGTATTAATCGTATGAACCCTTTGGATGTTGACATGAGAAGTTGACCGTTTTGTCATCAGAACTTCACTGTACCTAGTCCGAATAATTAAAACGTCTTGAAAGGTTATTTTATTGATGTGATGTCTTCCTGTGCAAAAATCAAAATAGCCTTTCAAGATGTCTTATAATTATTCGGACTACATGAAAATGAAAACAACACGTTAAATAATTTCATGCGTCCGAAGCGCTTTTCTGGATTTCACCAGGAACGCCCAAAGCCGAATATTTGAAAGCCGAGGATAGGATGCATCAATACGTCTTTGAATTTGCCATTAACCTTATATTACAGGCATGCATGCATAACGAAATAGGTAAACAAGTCAGGTATCTTTATTAAACAGTCTCATTTTGACGAATATTGTATTTCTTTTATGAGCGACAACAATCACATCCTTGGTAGGAACAGTGGTCTGTGCTTGGGTGTTTGGTATCCACATACTCATGAGGAAAACAAATGTTTCTGCACTCTCCTTGCCCATTTGCGCACTTCATAGACGTCGAACATTCATGATTGAGCTGGTTTCCTGAAAAATATACTAGAAGATAATTCATGCGACCAAATTAAGCATATTCAGAAATTTAATAAAATTAAATTTTAAAGTAATAATTTGTGATGTACTGGTAAAATATAGAAGTACTACTACAAATGTACTAGGTATCTTCAGTTGAAAAATATAAAATCATGAAGAAGAGACGCAATACATTTTTTCTAATCATTTTAAATACCTAGTAATTTTCCTGTTAATAAAGCAGCAGTTGCAGCTCCAGCTCCTGCAAGTCCCTGAAGGAGAGCGCCTCCAAGAGCCGTTTCGCCAAGTAAAAGTGGGATCGCAAATACCTGTTTCTTCTCTTTCTTCTTCTTGCAGTAGACACACTCATATGACAGAAGGAAAATGAAAGCAAAAGTGACTATTTTAGTATTCATTTTTCTGCAAATAAAAGAAATAAATTGTGAATGTGTAAGTGTAGACAGCAAAATAAGAAATAATAATAATGATGAATTCGTGTTAAAGAGAAATGTCAATATGAATTAGTATAGTGCAGAGGTGTTTATGAACATGTTGACCAACCAAACGTATAGTATGATATAAGGCAGGTGTTATTTATGAAACTCAAAAATGAGTGCAAACAGAGGAAGACGATGACACGCTCTATTCAACGTACATGTAGAATTGATATTGCCATTTGATAGCCCTTCTGAAATGAAAGAAGAGTAAATTAAATTTATTTGCTTAACGCTTGATTGGCTTGTATATACATGTATGTTGATGAAATTGTGGCAAATAAAGCAACATTAAACGTATTCTTTATTACGTTATCACCGACAAAAGCGTTATCATGCCTACTAGTCAAGATACAATTAGACACAATACAAAACAAACCTACTATTTGTTCTCGTCATCCAACTAGCCAAGGAACAATCTTCAACAAATTGGTCATTGTGACTTTCAAAATATATACTTTTTCACTGGTGTTAAACTGATTGTGGTAACTGCAGTTACCACGATCCCAATATGGCGGAGGTAGACATAGGTAAGATCGTTTTCTGCTAATTTCTCCGTGTATACGTGTTGTTTTAAAAAAATACTCAGCCGCCAGGTTGATCTGTACGGTTTTGTTGAGTGAGTGGGTTTTTAATATCATAAATGGCCTCGTTACCAAAATACTAGCCATCGAAAATTTAAAGAAGATAATAGTAACTCCAAAAGAAGATAATCGTAACTTGGATTACTATACAAATATATGTATAGAAATGAATCAGAAACTTATAGCTGTTTAACTTTCAAAATAAAAATAAGGAGATGTGGTATGAATGCCAATGAGATAACTATCCACCAGAGACAAAAAGACGAAGATGGAAGCAACTACGGGTCATCGTTCGGCCATCAACAATGTGCAAAACTCATAGAGAAAGCTAACGACAACCACTAAATTACAGGCTTCTGGCTTGGGACAGGCGCATACATAACGTAACAGGGTTAAACATGCATGTGAGCGCTCTCCTCCTTTAACTTGGGACTTTGGTGTAAGAGCAAACCATGAGAATCAATTGAAAAAGGCTTAACGGCTTATCAGATCGACACAAAGTAACAACAACAAAAAACTAACAGAACCTGTGCATTTATGATATAAGCTTTGTATGATGAATCGCCGTGAATTAATCCTTCTATTCTTATAATTGTGGTATATTACTCCCATCTGATCATAGTTTATGCTTTAGGTTCAAACCGTTTCATGCAGTCAGTACTGCTGTCAGCTTCACTTCTTTGTGTAAATATGTCGTCTATGTATTTCCAAAACGGCTTTTTTTATTTTCTCACTGTTTTTTGCTCTTCAGTTCTTCTTATGTAGTAGCATCTCTTTTATCTCCAAATTTATTCTATCTTTTGATTAGCCTTCTTATATCTGCACCCCCTCCCCCAAAGGGTGACTGGGGAATATAAATGTAGTCACTCTTGGTCTTCTTCCGACCGGCAGTAAAACCCATGTCAAAGTGGGGCGTCCGTTTTGGCGGAATTTATAAATACGCAGCCACGTCCGGTCAGAATGGGAACGTTAAATCTGATGCCTCATGCAGAGAGTGCCACGCTCTATGCACGTTAAGAATCCTTGCAACAACTTTTTGAGGGGTCCGTAGTTGACCTGTTGCAAGGAAAAAAATGTCCCTTCTCAACATATACTCATTTTCCAGTGGCAGTTCAAATTTTCCGACCTTCATCCCCTATTACAGGACCTTCCTGTTGTATTTATTATTAATTAGTTCTAGTCCTGAACATGCATTTCATATTTGCCACTGGACTTTAAGCAACAAACAATCAATCAATCAATCAATCAATATTATATCTGCTGTAATCAAGGGCATCCATTTTTTTCACGTTCAGCATTAACAGTCGAAAGCGCATCTGGTGCAGAACCATTGGAATTTGGTACCGTCAATGTGATAACTACCACATTGCCGATACCTCTGTTAGTGGACTATCAGTCATCGTGTATATCACTTGCCCAGTAGCCACTATTTAGGAACTGGCATTAAAATACAGATATTATTTTCATTGCTGATATAAAATTTGAGAAATCATTTAAATAAAGGAATATATCTCCCTCATGCAAAGCTCCGATTCCTTGTCCGGATTCGAGTATACTTTAGGTCCTTTATGTTTTTATCAGCTCTGCAACGTTTGTATTAGGTCTTGGATTTTCAAGATTGTTTTGCCTCAAGCATTATTGGGAAACATCAGTTGTCGAAATACGCATCTTGTGCAATAACATGTGTACGGTTAATGCTATGTATACCAACCTCAGTACTGGCATCCGAATACGGATATTGTTTGATTGAAATTTGCTGTTATGAAATTTTAATAATCATTTTGAATTAAGGAATATATCTCCCTCATGCAAGGCTACGATTCCTTGTTCAAATTTGGTTTTCTTTCATGTCTTTTTTGGTTTTATCAACTCTTTAAGGATGTAGTCAGGTCAGGTTTATGAATTTTTGTCAGATGTTCGGACCAATTGGTTTTTTTCTACGAAACAGGGTAAAATAATTTGCCCCATATCACCCATTTTTCTTTTCATAGAAGACTTCAATAGCTCATAAAAAGGTCATTACCAAAATTTTCTAGATTTTTTTTCTTTCGATTTGAGACCCAAATAATGCCAATGCTAAATATAAGGTAAAAGTCCCAGTCAGCCTTTTCCCGTCATCTAAAAAAAAATCAAATATCTCAAAAAGGAGTTCCGTAACCTATAAATATTTTTAGCTTATTTTGTTCTTTAACTAATGTTCTTCTGACTTATAGTATCAATTTTAAATTCTAGATTTTTTTAATTTCACCTAAGTACATCCTTAACGTTTGTATTAGACTTGGATTTTCAAATATTTTGGCCTCGAGTATTACTGAATTTTAATTGTCGAAATGCACATCTGGTGCAGTACAACTGATACCGTTAATGTCATTTCTACCACTGGGTCGATACCCTCTGCTAGTGGACTATAAGTCGCCGAGGGTATCACCAACCACGTAGCCAGTTCGTCGTTACTGGAATGAATATACGGATATTGTTTGATTGAAATTCGCTGTTATAAAATATTGGTATTTTTTTTTTTTAAATTAAGGAATATATATCCCGCAAGCAAAGCTTTGATTCCTTATCCAGATTTGGCTACTTGTATTTTTATGTCCTTTAGGGTTTTGTAAGCTCTTCAACGTTTGTATGAGGTTTTGGATTTTTAAATATTTTGACCTCGAGCATCACTGAAGAGACATGGTATGAGTTGTAGAAATACACATCTGGTACCATGAATCTCATAACTACCACCGGGTCGACATCTCTGTTAGTGAACTGTAAGTCCCAGAGAGTATTACCAGCCCAGTAGCCAGTACTTTGGTACTGACTTGCAATAACGGATATTGACTGATTAAAATTTGCTGTTATGACATTTAAAAAATCATTTTAATGAAAGAATATATCTTCCTTTTAAGTTTATAATATACCATCAATATTTACCGTAAATTTTAACTTGTAAAATATAGAGACTATATCTACAAAGCAAAGAGTAAATTAGTTTAAGATAACCAATTATTCGCTAGTTATGGTCACACTATCAAACTATTAAACAAGATTTAGATATAGTCGCCGTCCCCGTCAACAGATAAAGTTACGATTATCACTGATAAGTTACTATTGTCATGTCCAAATTACGACTATCTGATAGTCCAGCTACGATTATCATATCAAACAAATTTCATGGAATTACGATTATCTTCCTTAAATTTTGGATGGCTATTATTTTGGTAACAAGGCCATATATGTTATTAAGATCACGCACACACAACAAAACCGTACAGACCAATCTGGCGGTTGGGTAATTCTTGAAAACAACACGTTCACACGGATAAATTAGCAGAACAGGATTTTACCTATTTCTACCTCCGCCATATTGGGATCATGGTAACTGCAGTTACCACAATCAGTTTAACACCAGTGCTTTTTACAGACTTCTGAGTTATTCGGTTAAATCTAAATATATAATCAACATTTTACACCATTCGAGTGCGTTTAAATAAGTCGGTACGAGTTTGCAACGGTTTGAATATACCGTGGTACGAGATAATTATAAACTGTAAATAGTTTCTTGTTGATCTGTCACACTGGGTAACTGGGAGCATTTGACATATAATAAATGGATGGGCCACAGTTGGGATTTACATGCAAAGACACATCTCATTCCATTCTCATTCTGCATAACTACACAACTAAGGAGGTGCCAATGAAATAAAGCAGTAGAAGATGTGATTCCAGTTTAGCCCTAATGTACATTTAGTTTATATTCAGGGGAGGTAACCGAATTTTAACATGGGCGTCATAAAGGGTATGTCTTAATATTTATATATAGACAGAAATAAATGTTTTACAGGTTCAGGTTGGAAATTATTTAAAAAATATCTTTACATGTAGAACTACTAAGGAAATGAAACGAGGACTTTCGCTGTCCTGATGTGTAAAATAATTTAGATTTTATTGGATTAAAATAAACATATTTTGAACAATTACAGTTATATATCCCTCATATTGCTCAATTGTGATGTTAAATAATTAATGTTATATGTGTAGTATGTTTTCCATCAATTATTTTCTGTATCAAGTAAAATCACAAAACAAATGAACTCCGAGAAAAATTGAAAACGGAAAGTCCCTAATCAAATGGCAAAATCAAATGATAAAACACATTAAACGAATGGACAACAACTGTCATATTCCTGACTTGGTACAGGCATTTTCAAATGTAGAAAATGGTGGATTGAACCTGGTTTTATAGCGCTAAACCTCTCACTTGTATGACAGTCGCATCAAATTCCATTATATTTACAACGATGCGTGAACAAAACAGACATAATAGGTAGCATTGTCAAAATATGGGTACATC